AAAAAATACACATACAACATAGATATTAGGTTTGCATACTTGTGGTTCTTACCAGGAACACCCATGAACTGTGTCTTCACTGGCTCCTTCAGTATACTTTCGCCAACAGTATCAGCCAAGAGTTCTTTGTCAGTATCTATAGAATTAAAAGAAATTTCAAATATTGATTAGAATAGAAAAAGAAAGTCATTACAAAGTGGTAAAGGAAACAGTCCAACAAGAAGAGATAAAAATGGTACATTTATGTGCACAAACGCTGGTGAATAAAATTAATAAAACAAATTCTACTGGATATAAAAATGGTCAGATGAACATCAACACAATGGATGGATAAATATATAAGTATAGTTTCACTCTGTCATAGCAAAAGATAATCTTGAGCCAGTTCTATGTAAACAAATGCATCTTGAGACCATTCTCTGAAGTGAAATAAGCTGGACACATGTTTAAGTACTGCATTGTTTCTCTGGTGTGAGAAACCAAAAGACTAAATAAAGATCGAAGTATACAATAGACACTGTGAAAAAGGAACTGAGCATGTTAATGTTTGCTATTTCAGATTTTTTAACTTACATCTTCAATTTCATCGACTGATATTGTGTTATTTAGAATTTGTATCCATTCTTGATTCAACATGGATAATTTATATGTACCTAGGAATCTTTCCATTTCCTCTGTGTTTTCCATCTTACTAGAAAACAGGTTTTTGAAGTAGGTATTGATGATCTTTTGGATTTCCACAGGATCTGTTTGTGATTTAACCCTTCTTATTCCTAATTGCATGAATTTGAGGTTTTTCTTTCCAAATTTTTGGATAAAGTTTGTCAGCTTTATTTAATCTTTCAAAAAACCAACTCTGATTCATCAATTCTTTGAATTGTTTTTCTTAGTTTGATTTTATTCATTTCTGTTCTGATCTTTGTAACTCATTCCCTCATGTGAGCTTTGAGCTTGACTTGCTTTTCTTTTTCTGCAAGGGTGTTTATTTGTGCTTGCTCTGTTTTTCTGATGTGGGAATTCACTGCTTATGGGAATACTTTCCTTGGGTCCCTTTAGCTATAGCATGTTGTACTGGTGCTATCATGTACTT